GTTTGGGCAGAAGGCGACATACAATGTGACGTTTTCTCGCGATAAGAACGTGACCGGTTGGGGGAATAATGAATCTGTTGCACAAGGCTTCTTGCTCTGGAAATCAGGAAAGCACACAGTCAGGAGTGTTATAGCAATCAACATCACTGAAAAAGCCTTCTAATTTTACCTGCTATGAACTCTTATTGAACAAGAATAGTGGTTTGCTTTATGTATGTCACCTTTTGAATAAAAGAAGTAAAAACATGAATGAAATTCACCTCAAGAATGTAATAAATAGGGAGATTGGATTCTCCTTTATATATATAGTCCTCCTATCCTTTTAATATCAATATATGTAAGGAGATTGGATTCCCCTTTATATATATAGTCCTCCTATCCTTTTAATATCAATATATGACTACATGCACAACAACACAATACATATGTATGTCAATTTGGCCGTCCAAAAATTACCTCATACGGCGGACGACGATCGGAGATGGCTGACGAGCGATTGTCGGACGGTGATAAGGGATCGAGAGGAGATCGGAGGCGGACAGACAAAATAAAAACACAGGCCATTTCCAATTAAGAATAATAATAATAATGACAAATTTATTTGTTCCTATTGGCAAAAATATATGCATAATGTCCTATTTATATTTTTATTTTTATTAATATAATATATTTTATACTAAAATATATTGTTACACCCCAAATATTTAAATTATATTGTTATGAATTTTATTATTATTATTATTATTATTATTATTATTATTATTATTATTCTAATTGTTATTATTATTATTATTATTAATTATTACAATTAATTATGATTAATATTAAATATCTGCAAAAATTTTATTGAGACAAGTAAAATATTTATAAATTTTAAAGTGTTTCGGATACAATAATATTTATACAAATTGTTGCAGTATCAGCCCAAATGACCAAACAAGGCCCTAGACCACAAAAATCGCTCATCAATCGGCCCATTCGATTACCGCTAGGGTTGCCAATCGCTCATCGGCACGACGATCGCCCTCAATGATTTC